AAAATATTTTTCATCCCCCCCCCCCCCCCCCCCCCCCCAACCCCCCTCACCAACAATTTTTAACTTCGAGCAAGGGATTATAAAAAAAAAGATCGACACAGCAAAAAAAATTTGAAAAACTAATCGTGCACGTTGGAAATTAACCACCCCCCCCCCTTCACTTTTCTAATGGTCCGTCCCTAAAGTTGCTGCGGTTGTAACGCGATTATTTACTAGTAGAAAGTACATAAATACGACACGGGGTTAGGTTAAAACGCGGAAGCGGATGCGGAACGGAACGGATATGCGGAACGGAACGGATATGGGGTTAAAATGCGGAACGGAACGGATATGGGGTTAAAATGCGGAACGGAACGGATATGGGGTTAAAACGCGGAACGGAACGGGAATAAAACGTTTTTTAAAAACAGACATGATGTTTTTAAAAAACGTTTTATTCCCGTTCCGTTCCGCGTTTTAACCCCATATCCGTTCCGTTCCGCATTTTAACCCCATATCCGTTCCGTTCCGCATTTTAACCCCACATCCGTTCCGTTTCGCATCCGTTCCGTTCCGCATCCGCTTCTGCGTTTTAACCTAACCCATACGACACGAACATTTCAACAGTATTTTTCAATCTTTCCCTTTGGCTACAACACTACCAAACGGATAAAAAATTAGACCTAATTACATTTATCAAATCAATCGTTATAACAGGTATATCAGTAGCAGCTACAAACAAGCTCCGGGATCCTTCATATTCTCTCTTCGTAACAAAGAAAATCTGCCCGCGCCTTTTAAAGCCCCATGTATGTATGTATGTAAAACTTTATTTCAATACGCTAACTTCGACAATTATTTACAACTGGTTTCCACGAAGGGCGTATACACACAAAGATCTAAATGTTAATTATATATAGAACAAAGTATGTAAGAATCCCACCCTAAAATTTTATCATCTTCCTCCCAAACCTCCACCCCCCTAAACAAGTACCCACCCACCCTCACGCAAAACTAACCCCCCTCCCGCCCACAATCTATATTGTCCTCCTATCATTTGGCCCTGGAGAAATTAGCTTATCATCTGCTTAAATGCAATTTCGCCATTGTTTTAAATGACGTAATTGACTCAGCCGCCTTGACATCTTGCGGGAGACTATTCCATAGAATTGCTCCACTGTATCCAAATGTTTTCTTTAG